AGCAAGAGTGGCTTCGGGCGGACCCAAGACATAGAATGCACTTACCAGAAAAGCACCAAAAGTAAAGGCTAAGTTTCTGAGAAAAGAATCAGCCTAGACACAGGTGGACAAAGTCCCTTTTCCTCAAAATGAACAAAATGAGCCAAATCCAGCAAATAATGGTCTAGCAGTAGCCACATCCCCTCAAGCTTAGAAGAAGAGTAGAAGTTAAAAAAAAAGAAAAGAAAAGAACTCTTAAGAGGCTCAGAGAGCTGATGAGAAAACCCCAAAGGAAGGGCCAACGCTGGCCCATCATAAAAGAGAATCTGCCATTTTCTCCTTTTAGCAAGGAGAAAACAAAAAGCACCAGCTGGGTGTAACCCTGAAGTGCTAAATGTGTCCCACAGAAAATAAAGGTTTGCTAGGGGAAAAAAAGAAGAAGAGGGGAAAGCAAACAAAATACCAAAAAGGCTGGCCCACATCAAACCAATAGCTCTAGATCTGGGGGCTTTCCCACCGAGCCCCAGGTAGGTCATTGGAAAGTTGGAAACAATCCCAATCGCAAGGGCTTTCCCATGGGAAAAGATGAACCACTGAAAATCTAAGAGAAGAAACAAACTGGGGGACATATTTGCAACATATAAAACAATGGATTACTATCTCTAAAATGCAAAGAGTTTTTACAAATCAATAAGAAAATCACCAAGTAATAGAAAAAAGAAAACAATCGTTTATAAATAAGTACAACTGGCCACTGAATTTATGAAAAGCTGCTCAAACTCTTCATCAGCAAACAAATGCAAGTGAAAATATTGGGACAATATATTTTGCCTGTAATATTGGTAAATATATAAAATACAAATATTATCTATTGTTGGTGAGAGAATGATGGAAATTAAGTGATTGGACTCAGTTAATGGGGATATAAATTGATATTAATAAACTGGTAAATCTGGAAGACAGTTTGATGATATCTCGAGATAAAAAAATGTTTATACACTGTTTAAGTGCAAACTCACTTTTGGAATTCAGAAGTTTATAAAATCTTTAGAGTCAGAGAGGAGACAATGAATGAGACTCTTCCTGTTCACAGAGAGGTACAAAAGAAAGAATATTTAATATATACTTTTAAAGTTGTTCGCTGTGCTATGTTGTGATGTAAGCACTTCTGGTAACCCCTAGACCTCTGAAAAAAAGCATTTGTTTGGAAAACCAAAGGCAAGGGGTTTGTATGTGGCTTGGTGCAGGGTGTATGTCAGGCGAGATAAATGTGAGATTCAAAATTCAGTCAAAAGAGGAAATCAGTACAAGAAGTGACCAGGAGAGCTAACCCCATCCACTGGAGTTTAAACATGCATAAAAATAGTGGGGTGGGCACTGGACAACCTCCAACACTTTGTCCATTGGGGTCCAAGTAATTTTCATTTAAATAAAAAAGGAAAGGTTTATTCTTTAATTTAAATATAAAAGGGAAGGTTTATTCCTACAGACTGCAGAACTTGGGACAGTCAGCCAAGTAACTCCTGGGATCCACACAGATATGCTTGCTTTCTAGTTCAAATAGTGGTTTTACCCTAATTTATCTGGCTGTTTTGGATGTTTATAGATTTCTCATTTAAGACATATCTCTATTGATCTCTGATTCTTATTTAAAAGCAAAAAGGTCACCTCTAGATAGTGTGGCTTTTTCATAAAAAGGATTATCCATCCACAGGCTGTTCTAACCATCAGCTTTCTGAACCCATGACATGGACGACTGACATGTGTCAATCTGTGCACTATGTATATTGACTTACAGCTGTGTTTTATCAAATGGAAAACACCCTTCTCACAACATCAGGCCTGGTTGCTGAGTGGTGGTCAGCTCTTTGCAAATCAGTGTTTCCCAAGCTGGCTCACATTGAGAATAGCTGGAAAACTGGGGGGTGGGGAGATTCGGGGTTTGTTTCCCTAGGAGATCTGGGGCCCAGGAATATATGTGTTTAAGCTTTCCATCGGATGCTGTTACACAGCCTGGTTTGGGAAACACTTGGGGTGGATGCCATCATCCTTAGGTGGGGGAATGAGAGAACAAGCGGATGCAGGCAGAGTCATATGAGAACCCTCGGTGCTTGGGCTGTGTTTACTCCTGTTCTTGGCCTAGTTTGTGGTACCTGCCTTTCCTTCATTTCCTCTCCAGGGTCTCTGTCTTCCTGTGCCCGAGGACGCTCCTTTCCTGCCTGTTCCACGTTTATTTCCTTTCCCTGCATGCTCACACTTGGCCTCTCCTTCACCGAGCCCTCTAACATAAGGAAATAGTGACCTGATGACATTCACCCCAGCTGTCTGAGACTCTTGCTTCAAAAGGCCTTTAAAACGCTCCAACGAAGAATTCCAAAACCCAAGCAACATTTTCCCATCAATTGTCTTCCTTTTGCCCCACGTGATAGGGGGACTGTACCTTTTCTACATTGACAGAGTGACACTGTATCAGCCAGGTTGCCCACTGCCATATGCATTTAAATGCTACCCTTATAAAGAGGAAGTCACACATTATTCCACACTAAAGTCTTCAATGAGAAGCAGCCATTTGGGAATCCCTGTGTTGGAAAGGATGGAGGAAGAAGGCTATTTGTGGAGAGGAAAAGGGTGAGGAAGGGAGAGAGAGCAAAGACAGAGTCCCCCTGGGGTGGGAAGCGAGAAGGCACAGAAGACTGCGTGGGACTCCGTGGTCTCTCAGTTCCAGGAGCCTCAAAGTTCATATGCTAATAACAGGAAGGTCCTCAAGTATTTCTTTGGTAATTAACAACAAGGCCCGAGTTCTATATTTCTTGGCTGAGAATTTTATCTCATTTAACAACTGAAGCATTTCAAAAATCTAGTAAACACTTTCAAGTTCAAGCCCTAACGAGACAACATAAAACCAGGTACTTTTTAAGTGCAGCATTGAAAACATAAAATATGCCAAATATACTTGGAATGTACACAGCGTGATCACAGATAGGATGCTGGGAAACTGCCCCCAAGGCCAAGGACAGTTTTTTCTGAGTAAACCCAGTGAATTTGCTTCTCAGTAATGGTCTGTGTTCTAAATGCAAAGCTGCGTTTCCTTCCCGTGGTGCTTAATTCCATATCCATTTTTGGTAAGACGAGAATTATTGTTTAGTTTTAAAAAAAATGGGACTGTAACATTTTCCCAGTAATTCCCAAGTGTTTCCCTCAGAACTTTTAAGAACAGGCTGTTAATTTATGGAAAGAAGTATAAGAATTTTCAGTAATTATGTGGGGGTGGGGAGAGAGAAAATGTTGACATTTTAAATTGTACTAATTCTGATCATCACAAAGAGAGCCTTTGCAGTGGTCTCTGACTTACTCATAAAATATTTTAATATTGAGAACAAGCCAATGAGAAAACAGGCTTTTTCCTTCTATGATATTGAATATAATAAATTACATATCCTAACGTTAATGTACGTTCACTGAATAGGATGGGGAAATACTGTGAAGGCATTTTTAAGTTTATATTCAGAGAGGAAGTTATTTACCTAAGTGGATGCTAAGATTATAAAGTGTTAAGATCATTTAACTATGGAGAATGTTAATAGCTCCTTCTATGGCATATTAAAAGCCTCTTGGAACGAGAGACTGTGGCCAATGTGAAATCCTTTAAAAACCACAATAGCTTATGATAACTTTAACTAAAGTACACACACCCACATTATCTGTGAGGATTCTCCAACTCCTCAAGTAAATACCTTTGCCTTCTCTCCAGCTTTCTTTCTCCCTCCCTCTCCCCCATCCTCCTCCTCTCCTTCGTTCTTTCTTTTCTTCCTCCCTCCCTCCCTCCTTCCTTCCCTCCCTCCTTCCTTCCCTCCCTCCTTCCTTCCCTCCATCCTTCCTTCCTTTCTTCCTCCTTTCCTTGCCTGCCTGCCTTCCTTCCTCCTCTCCTGTTTTCTTTCCTCTTCTTTTTAGACCACTGCCCAGTTAATTTTAGGAGCAGGCACTGCACGCACAAATACCTGAAGAAGCCAGATAGAGAGCATAAATGAGCAAAGCTGACAGGTCTCAGAAACAGTCGCTGCCTACTGTTAAAGGACCCACGCACTGAGGAGCCCTAGTGACCGACTGCTAAGTAATTTATAGGCTGGTTGAGATAAGATAGGCAAGCTCGATGAAAGCTGTGTGTTTAGAGCGATGCTTGCTGTTGCTGCTCCGGTTTTATATGGGGCCTTTCCTTTAGTTGCTTGGGACGGGTGAGGGCATATCAACGTGTCAGGGACATGAGAATTAGCAGTAGGAGGAAGATGACCTGTCACCTAAGCCACTCTCGTCATTGTACAGTATAGCCAAGTATCTGAAAAACAGGGTCCCTGGAGCTCAAGGCCTGGGTTCAAACCCTGCTCTGTCACTTATTAGCTGCGTGGCCTTGGGAAAGTTGCCTTTCCATCTCTCCAAATCCTCGCCTGCAGAAGGCAGCTCACGAGCGTGTCTACCATATATGATTATTGTGAGCATAATGAGGTCATCCATGCCAAGCAGTAAGCTCAGGGCCAGCCACACGGCGAGAGCTCGCTGTTAGCTGTTAGTACGGACGCAAGTGAATCCTAGATGGGGGTCAGGACTTACGCAGAGCCACCCAGCAAGAGTGGTTCCAAGTCAGGACTCGGGCCCAGGTGGGTGCACTCCCAGGTCAGGGCTAACTTATTTGCTGTAAACTTGCTTACTTTGGTATTATTTCTAAAGGAAACAATAAACAACAACAATGACATGGGATGGTGAGAGGAAGCCCTGATGAAGCTGGTTTTCAGGCCAGAGTCAGGTCTAACAGTTGTGGCAATAAGGCCAGACAAGTGCAAAAACAGTGATTACGATCCGTACAGGCGGCCCAGGCACCCAGGATGGCTGTGCTATCGGCGCGGTGATATGTCCACCAGCTTTATCACAGTATCCTAGAAACGGTTTTCTCTCAGTCTTTCTGCGCCAGAGTTTTGCTTTGAGTTCTGTGAAAGCTTCCAGGCTGTTCTTAATATTCTGCAGAGAGAAGATGCTGCCGTGGGCCTGAATATCGGAGAGGTGAGAGGCGGTTCCATGCTGACACGCGCGTGCTGTTATTGGTGGCCACTTTCTGAAGAGGGCCCCTTCCAGACATTGTGTGGAGAGGGCCTGGTTCTACAAGAGTGGGGTGTCATCTTATCCCAGCGCACGTAAAATGAGCAGAATCAGTATCCTTAAGGGAAACCAAAATGTTGCTACCCCAAAACTGCCTCTTGGGATATTGATATTAAGCTGTTTATTAACAAACAAGACTCAGAAAGAACCTTTGACCCTCCCCTACTTTCCTGCCCAAGAGATTCAAACAGAAAAACCTGCTTCAGGAAGGAAATCTTAGGATGGAGGTTCGCCTTAGCCTGATTTGAATTAAGTATAGTAACATAAGAGGGCTGCAGGCAGATACCCACTGTCTCCCACTGCTTCTGAGGTGCCCAGCAAGAATTTTCTGGTCATGTATGTTGTGCAGTTTCTCAACTCTCTGCAAATCGCCCGTTCTCATTTCTGAAATCTAATACTGCATCCCATCCAAAAATGTCATATATGCCTAAGGTTGCCTCACTGTCTTTGGAATTTTCATGTTTATATGAATTCCCCACGCACATGTTAAAAATTTGATTTTCTCCTGTTATTCTGTCCATTAATTCGATAATTAACCCAGCTAGAAGAACTTGGAAGGTAGGAGGAAAAAGATTTTTTTTTAGCCCCCACAGCCCCCACCACCCTGCCCCTGCCCCCCTCTTCTAGCCTTAGCTCCACCTACTGCTTTCCTCTGTGCTGGGATCACTCAGCCTGCCCGGAATCCACCAGCTCTCTCACCCCTCTACTCACTCTTTGCTCTTTACCTAGAAAGTCCTTCTCACCAATCATGCCCTATCTAACTCCCCTTCTTCAAGGTCTCAGCCTCAGCCTCACCCCAAGACTGCTGTCCCCAGGCCCCATCCACAATCTTCTTAACCCCCCCACCCCATTCCCATTATCCCGACCCTTCCCTAGATAAAGATACTCTATTGAGTGCACCCTGGAGTCCTACCTACAGCTCAGCATCTTCCCTTGAATATCCATCAAACCCACATATTCCAACCAAACTCCTTACTAGCCACCCCCCACTCATCTTCTCTGTGTTTCCTGACTTAAGGGTCCCAACAATCCCGTGGTCACCTCCACCCTCTTCTTCACCATTGTCAAGTCACGGAGGCCCCTCTTACTGTCCCCACTGCCACTGTACAGGCCAGTCCCTCCTTTCTTATCTGCACCATTCAATGGCCCATTAACAGCTCTCTCTGCCTTTGGCCTCTCCCTCCAACCTGCCCACCTTTCACAATGCACCTGAGCTAGCTTCCCAAACCAGCCTCCAATGGTTCTTGCCACAATTAAAATCCCTTATCATTCATCCATTTTAACAAATACTAAGATCCCACCACGTGTGAGGCACCATTCACTGCAGGTGCTGGGATGTGTCAGTGAACGAAAGTCAAGTGCTTTCTCCCCCTCATCCTCGCATCACTCTGCCTGGAGGTCAGATGGGTGTTCTCCTTGCTCCGCACTGCTTCTTCCGGACTATTATCCTCCTTTCTCAATCAAGAGCCCCCTCCCTCGTTACTTGGAAGATTTTAGCACCTGTCAGTCTCTCCAACAATACTCTCTCCAGTAACATTCTGTAAATCACTACAATAAAATGTTCTTTTCTTTAGTTAAAATTAAAAAAAAAATCCCCATTTGATCAGGTACTCACCAAAACAGCCTTTTAAAGTACGTTGGGTAAAGTACTCTTGAACTTTTAGGTAAAAACAAATTGCACTTCTAAAATACTAAACAAACTACATCTTCCCATAAGACGATTTCCAAGAAGAATTTAGCATTTCATATGAAACGATCACGTTGACTTATAAATTTCTAACATTTACTATGGGTGAATTCAACTGGCCTTTCCTTTTTCTCTTCTGTTATCTGTGGCATTTTTTCCCCTCTATTTAAAGACATTTTTTTGGTGTGTGTAATCCTTTTTTTATAAATTTGTGGGGGTGACATTGGTTAATAACATTATATAAGTTTCAAGTGTACAGTTCTATAATACATCAACTGTATATTGCATTGTGTGCTTACAACACAACCCAAAGTCTAGTCTCCCTCAGTCACCATATATTTGACCCCCTTTACCCTCTTAATCCTCTCCACATCATCCCCCTTTAAGTCCTTAATCACAAACACAGCTCTTTTCAGATGTGTCACTTGTATAAAGAATGTGTGGCTTGAAAGCAATTGATTCCCTCCATGGGGAAAGCATATGCTATGATCTTCTCTTTGCTATGGATCTGAACTGCAAGAGAATGGCTGGTTGTGAAGTTAACTGGCTCAGCATTTCCCAAGAAAAGGAAGAGTGTGTGTGTGTGTGTGTGTGTGTGTGTGTGTGTGTGTGTGTTACAGGCAACAAGTGGTCTGCCATCGTGGTTAGGAGGACATGCTCTGGCAGAACCTTCCACAGGTTACTTTACTTCCCTGTGCCTTAGTTTCCTAGTCTTTAAAATGGGGACAATTACATAGTATCTATATCATGGGTTTGCAGTGAGCACAGGATGAGTTAATGCTTATAAAGGCTATGGAACCTACCTTTTAGATTCTCAGTAGGTGTTAACTATTTGTTGTTATTAATCTGTGTCAGTCTGCTGCTCTGTAACTTTCCTGTAGCCGGTCCAAAAAGTCAGAGTGGTCTTAGATTAGATTGGTTCTTGACTAATTTCTTCTTTTAGAGGATCATAGCTATTTTCCTATCGTTAAATTTTATTATGATTAAAATATCTTCCCAATTATAAAAGAAATACTCATTGTATGGAAAGCAATAAAATGAGGGCTCTGGGTTATTACAGACCTAGGACTGAATTCTGATTCCACTCTTACAGATTTTGTGAACTTGCAAAAGTCACTTAACCTTCTCAGACCATTGATTTCATCATCTACTGTACAGATAGGACAAATAAGGGTACCTATCTCATGGTGTATTATGAGTGTTAAGTAAAATAACACAGGTAAAGTACCATAGGTGTCTGGCCATTAGTAAACGTTGGGAGAAAGAAAGGGAGTGAGGGGTGGAGGAAGGAGGGAGGAAACAAATAAGAAAGGGAAGAAAGAAGAAAAGAAGGGAGAAAGGAAAGGAGAAAAGAAGAGAAAAAAGGAGAAAGGAAAAGAAGGAGGAAGAAGGGTGAGAGAGGAGAAGAAAATAGGAAGTAAGTCAATGACTATTACAGGATAAAAGAGTTTGATAAAATCCACGTGGAGAAAAAAAGTTTAATGAACTATCAAATATAATGAAAAATGCTTAGAAACAGGATGCATTTTCTATTTGAAAAAGAAAAAGTTTCTATGCCTGTTTTGCAATGTCATTTCTCTTAAGAGGGATTTTCCTATGTCACTCATGGGATAAGCTTAATATAAACTTGGAAATTTTTTTTCATAATTGGGTTTTGTTTATATTTTCTTAGCAAAAACCAACATATTTAAAACATATTAAGAAAAAATTAAAAATAACTCTGAGTGCATGAATATTTGTCTATTTCTCAACTTAAACAAACTTTTATTTTCAAAATTTCCAGAGGATTTATTGACATTAATTTGAAAAATCACCCTCAAAATTTGAACCTGTTTAAATATGGTATGCCACCCTTAAGAGCATGCAACACAACATTCAATAAGTTGACTTTTTAACGAAACGATAAATGCTGTATCACATAGAAATGCAGATATCTTAGGAAAAACTTAAAAAAAAAGGACTGCCCTAAGCTCAGGCATGGAGGGTCTAGTGCTTTTCTAATAAATACTGTGGGGCATCTATATGCTGAATTTCTCCAGACTAATTGAAAGGTCTCTTTATGCACGGTAGGCTCAGCTTCCCTTATTTACTGAAGAGGCAGTTCTATTTTATCATATTCATGAATTACTGCAGTAGAATGATAATGAACAATGTCCTCAGAATGTTGATAGGATGAAAGTCTAAGGGCAAGCCTGAAAAACAACCACATCCCTGGGAGGAAAATCTAACCTTCTCCCACTAGGTAAGCTCCAGCTTTGCATTTGAAGAACACACACTAACACCACTACATAAAAGCTTCCTTACTGACCAGGGGCTGTGAGGCCTACTCTGTCTGTTTGCATACAAGCATCAGCATTTTGTCCTACCAGGCGAAGTCATTATGAGCAAAGGCTGCCTCATTAGCTCTGGGTTCTGAGACTCCGTGGCTCTGTGTCCTTGAACAAATTCCTTAGTCTCTCTGTATTTTCTCTGCTTTATTATTATTATTTTTTATTAGTTTCAGGTGTACCAAGCAACATAGTGATTAAACATTTATATACCTCACAAAATGATAACCCAATAAGTCTATTACCCATCTGACACTGTACATAGTTATTACAATATTATTGACTATATTCCCTACAGTGTACTTTATATCCCCATAACGTTTTTTAAAAATTATAGTTAACATTCAATATTATTTTATATTAGTTTCCGTTGTAAAACATAGTTGTTGGACATTTATATAATATATGAAGTGATCCCCCTGATAAGTTTAGTACCCATCTGACACCATACATAGTTTTTACAATATTATTGACTGTATTCCCCATACTGTACTTTACATCCCTGTGACTCCTTTGTAATTACCAATCTGTACTTCTTAATCCCTTCACCTTTCTCACTCAGCCCCCCAATCCCCTCCCATTTAGTACCATCAATTTGTTCTCTGAATCTATGAGTCTGTTTCTGTTTTATTTGTTCGTTTATTTTGTTCTTTAGATTCCACATATAAGTGAGATTATTTGGTTTGTCTTTCTCAGTTTGACTTATTTCACTTAGTATAATATCCTCTAGGTCCATCCATGCTGTCACATTTTTCTTCCTCTTTAAATTAGAGATACTCATAGTACTTACCTTTTAGGCTTGTGGTAAGAATTAAATAATACAACGTCCTAAGGATTCAGGGCAATGTCTGACACGCAGAAGGTTCTCAATAACTGTTAGCTATTATTTTCCTTATTCATTTTTCTAAACTGAAATTCACTAAGCAATTCATGTTAGAGATCAAAACAAAGAGTCTGTGGCCATATGGAGAGTATGATGTCTGATTCAATGTCCTAACCTCTAACACAGATCCCTTCGGGAGAGGGAGTGGGGATTATAGCTGCTGGTACCTTTTTCTTTTCAGAAACAGACTTAAGAATGTTGAGCTAAAATGAATGTCACATCTCTACTGGCTCATTTCTCAGAAGAAGCAAATGTTGCAAAGGTAATAAGCTCCAAATGACATCAAAATGCCCAGGTAAGTAAATATATTAGTGTTTCGCAGCCTGTTCTCCTAGCCAATGAATCAATCAATCATTGTGTCTGAGCACGTCTTCTTTTTTTACATACAGCTTACATGTGTGTCATGATTTTCACCATGTTAACTACAAGTTTTCACTACACAGAAAAAAAGCAAAGAGGAAGGCCATTGGAGGATGGGTAGAAGGAAGAGATGGAAAAGGATAATTTATTGAGAGAAACAATAGATACTCAGTTTTCAGTGTTTATATAGTGAAGAAGCAAGACCTTTCTGCCTATGAATCCAAAGGATATTCTTGAGAATTATACTCAAGATGTATGAGACCTCTGTGATTCCTGACTTGTTTCAGAAGATAAGGCCTATTGTAAATGGCGACATGAATAATTTGTTTTTCAGGAATAACTTGTGACCATTCCAAACCACCCTGGACATTAATGATAATTTATTTATGAATTAACTGGATTGGAAAACCCCTGCCTAAGTGGGAAGCAGACTGGCAACCTTCCAAGAGTACTGAAGACCAATGGGTTCTGCTAACGGGTTTTACATTGGGTTTGCTTGCCTTAGTTCTGTTGGAAGTCATACACTTTGGTACTTGCAAAGGAGCCCTGTTTCAAAGCTAATTAGGTTGGAGTCAGCTAATTCATCAGAAGACAGGCTTATCTGCAAATGGGCTCTGACATACATGGACAAAGACTATTTCTAGAGCTTTATCATCGTTACTCACTCCCAGCCCTGCAACACTAGGAAATGTACTCGTGTATTCAAGAAATATTTGTGAATGTTTCAGAATTTTTGCTGGGAATGTCCAGGACAGTATCATCTGTTTTAGGAGGTGACCATTCAGACAGAGGGGATTTTTACCAAGTAGTAGGGTTGACAAAATCACACCAAAAAATTCGTCAACATTTAAAAATTTGGGATGATGAAGCTACCTGCAGAAAATGAAATCAGGTCAACACTGATAGTCCAACTAAAATAAAAGTCCTAGAAGAGGCTTCAGAAAAATCATAACATACCCAGATTGAGGACAGTTTTTTGATGTTTTTTTTAAGTTCAAGAGAAATAAACAAAGTGGGGGCAGAGTTTCCCCATAGCAAAGCCTCCAGACTATGAATTGGTTGGAAATATATATTGTCAGCATTGTCAGATACAAAGAATTATCTACTTTAATTCTGGCAGTACCACTGGAATCGAGCAAGGTAACTGTGTGAGCCCCTTGTGCTCTGCCATCTCTCTGGTGTACCAGTGGTAAGTTCGCTCGGTTCCAAACTTCCCTCCTTTGGTTGGGGTTCATATCTTAATTTTGGGTCCTCTGATACTTTTTTCATTTTTTTTTTTGGTAATGGAGCGTCCTCTGTCTAAATCTGCTACAGAATTGGCATCCCCCCTCTTACAACATCAGCTGGATTTATTTTTAAATATTACGGTCTGTCCTGTGTTAAGTGTTTATCTCAATTGACTTCTGATACAAAATATAATCTAGAATTACAGTGGCCACTCTGGGGGACCCTTTGGAGTTTCAAAATTAGTGTATTTGCATGTAAAACTGGAAAGCCTTAGGAATGTGAAACAACCAGACTGCAAAACCTACTTTAACTGGTCTGTGGAAGCCTCCAAAAGTAACAGGCTCAAAGATAACCTATCTTCAGGAGACCAATTCAAAACCGGCTAAAGCCAATGCAGAATTAAATAAAAGAATAATGACGCTTGAGAGCTCATCTGGAAAGTTCTGGGCTGACCTTCCCCAGCCCTCTTCCTGCACCTTCATTTTCGCTTTCGACTTCTCTATATCCTGACCTGATTGAACTTCTCTTTCAAAAGGAGATAAAAATAGAACCACCTGCTGTCATTTAGAGGCTCCCTTTAAAGCAAATCCTCTTGGAGACAGCTCTACAACTTACACCCCATGGACTAAAGCAGAGCTCTGAGCCCTTACTAAAGACTTTCCAAACCCTGCCAGAGATCCTCTTGGGTTTGCAAATAAATTTTGGTTAACTGAAAATCTACAAACTTAGTTATTCAGACTTCTATCAGTTAATCCATGTTGGTAGGGGAAGGGAACACAAAGAAATGGATGGATTAACCAACTGGAAAGAACCTTCTAAGCAGCATGCAGCAGATAAAATGATAGCTCAGAATTTGGCTGACGAGCTGTATGATAAAATACCTCAAGTCCTTCCAAAGAATATTGATTGGAGGAAAATTCAGCAATGTGTTTGTTCAAAGACTAGCTAAAATTTTTTTTATTATTATGGGCATTTAGAAAAGACATTTTTATAGTTTTTAGGCATTGAGAATGTCAAGAGAGAGGACACCTCTTAATACTACAATTTAAAATGGATTAGATCATGAATTTAGTACCCTAGTAAAAAGAAACCAACTTAATTGGACCACTATGGATACTCATGATTTAGTAAATCTGGGCATTCAGTTATCCAAAACAATAAAGAAAAATAACAAAAGGAAAATGCATCAGGCTCTGAATTATCAAATTAAAGCAGCCCCCATCATGGGTTTATAATTACAATGAAAATATCCATTGGAATTGAAAAATCCAAAGTGGTTCTCTAAGAACAACAAAAAGTGGAATTTGCAATTGTTGCAAAAAAAACCCTGGACACTGGAAAAACGATTGCCATAATAAACTCAAACGGCTATTGGAAAAAAAACAATCTGCTACTGTAATCCCAACAGCACCTCAAATGGGATAGGGCTGCTCCGAAGACAAAAGGGGGATATTCTCTTTGCTAACCACTAATTCATTAGGAGAAATTGAAATCTCTATCCTATTACTACTACTGCACTAGTCGGCACTGGAACAACTTATTCTGTGCTCAACCCCACCAAGCTTCCTGTCCTGCTGCCTTAGAGTACTGAACTGTACAAATGTGGGTGTCTCCAATACCCCTCTGGCTGGGTCTATCCTACCTGTACCATTCCAGCTGGGCCCTCTTCAGGGGCAACATCAGATTATCACTGGGCCTTTAGCACCAATTAACTTGTTAGGAAGAGATTTCCTTGAGCTTTCTCAGGCTCATATTTCCTTTTCTCTGAAAGGAGAAATGTTTCTAGATTTGACTGACACCTCAGCTTCTGGGGCACTTTTCTTTACCAACACCTATATTAAAGCCTGTGATGCCAGCAAAAAATATTGGACCTCTCCTCTTAAATACTCTGTGGGGCTCTCTTGGTGCATCAAACTCTACCCATATAGGACAAATTTATTCTGCTCCTTCTGTTACAATTCAGATTGACCCTTTGAAGCCTCTTCCCAATACAACACACTATCCTTTAAGGGTTGAGGACTTGTGAGGCATCAGACCCATAGCTGATGAATGCATTTCTAAATGGTTAATTGTGCCCTGTACTAGCCCATGTAATACTCCTATCCTGCCAATGAGAAAACCACCTGGGAGAGGATAGAGATTTGTACAAAATCTAAAAGCAATAAATAATATAGTGATTCCTCGGCATCCAGTGGTGCCCAATGCTCACACTCTGCTCTCAGATGCCCCCACAAATAGCTCCTGTTTGTCCGTTATTGATCTGTGCAGTGCTTTCTTTAGTACAACAGTGTACCCTGATAGACCTTTTTGCTTGCCTTCACTTGAAATCAACAACAGTATACCTGGACTGCTATGTCCCAAGGAGATACAGAAAGCCCAAAGCTAGCAAAAGGAAATGCGAATGCAGATCAAGCTGCAAAAACTGCTTTGTGCAAATGTGGAAGCCACCAATAATAGTCTTAGCTTTTCCAACACTGAACTTAGACCAATTAATACAAGATGACAGCAACAAGCTTCCTTACCAGAAAAGGAAAAAATGGCAGGAAGCTGGCTGTAAATACCATAAAGAACTGGATCTCTGGTATGGACCAGATAAGAAACGGCTTGTACCAGATACGAAACTGCTTTTACCATGAATTAACTTATTGGGACACTAATACATTACTCAGATGGGGCCATCAGTATTTCGGGAACCCCTCTTCCAAAATCACTTCAAACAGATATAACAATGTCTGATTTGTCACAAACATAATCCGGGAAAACCTTTACATAGTTCAGTGGGACATTTGCCCTTACCTTCTGGGCCCTGAATAAAATATTCGATTACCTCAAGTTTCTGGATACAGAAATGTACTCATAATGATTTTCATGTTTTCTCATTGGGGTGAAGCTTTCCCATGTAGAAAAGCAACAGCTCAAGCAACAAAAATAGTTTTAGAAAAAAAAAATTCCGACTTGGGGTTTCCCCTAGAACTACATAGTGATGGGGAACTCATCTTACAGGACAAACACTAAAACATGTTTGTGAAATTTGGCTGATAGTACAGCATTTTCATTGTGCGTCTCACCCCCAGACTTCTGGGCTGGTAGAATAAAAACTCAACTGGCAAAATTTACTGAGAGTCTTAATATATCCTGGCTAAAGGTTCTAGCGATTTTACTAATGAATTTATGATCTACTCCTTTAGGCCGACATAACTTGTCTGCATCTGAAATAATTAAGTAAAAGGAGATATAATGTAATATTGTAAAACTCTTACAAAAGCTTTGCAATACAACATTAAGCTTGCAGAGGAATCTTGCGATAATAATAAAATTAGATTGATGAATTAAAACAATATAAGCTCCAAACCAGACTATGTATACTGGATAAGGCACCTCATCAAAGATTCTCAGCAGCCCAGATGGAAAGGGCCACATCAGGTTTTATTAACAAATGTTTGTGCTGCTAAGTTAAAAGGTGTTGACTCACGGATTCATGTTTCTCATTTCAAAAGGGCTCCTCACCCCAAGTGGCTGATCACCTCAAACAAAGATCTCAAGACGACCCTAAATGCAGAAGCCAAGCTTAGAATGTTACCTAAACAACTGCTTATGTTTTTGTTTATTTCTTTCTGTTATTCTTTTAATGAGAATGTTTTTATTCAATGGGCTTTTCCTTTGCTCAGCATAAAAACCAAAGTAATTGGGTTTGTGGTCAAATGCCCATAACCCAGTTCTTCAGGTTTACCTTGGTGGGTATCTCCTCTCCAAGGGACCAATTGGAGAGTCTTACAAAAACTGATTATAGAACAACAGTGAAGTTCAACGTTCACTTCAGCTGATATTATATTGCAAACACCTGGAAGGTGGCCTATTAATGAAACCAGGGATCCTTAGACTTTGATTAAATTTAGTTTTAAATCCTAGCTCTAGAAATCATATCCCTCTCTTTATACATATACATACCCCTCAGAGACCCGGCCTTTCCCCTGATAAATCAGTCACCCCCGAGGCAGCAGAAGCCAGTAACCCAAACTGGACTAACGGTCACAGGGTCCCGACCTCGGGCAGCTAAAGATAGCATCATGACCTAAGTTAAGTTTCAGCTCCTGAGTCCTAAGGTGGAACGACCCCCTGGCTACTTTCCCATGAGATGGGACAGAGGGATGT